TCAAACTTTTGGCTTGGCATTCCATTTGCTGACTCAGAAGACTTTATGGGTGGTATTTCAACTGTTGGTACAGTTCAAATACAATATACTGGTGACAGAGACGGTCCAAATGAATTGAAAGCAAAGAAGTTTACAAAACCAATAGCACTTTTCACGGAAGATGCTCTTTTGAAAATTCGTTCGATGAAACCTGCTGGGGCTCCTCAGATTGGCATAACGACAGCTTCCATCGAGCAGATTTTGGCAGCAGGTCAGTAAGTTGTTCTTGAACTGACTTCTCTCCGTCAAATATTGACAGTACGCCAGTTTTGACATAAAATTGTAAGATAAACTTTCCTTTAGAAATATCGGTCAGTTTTGTTGTTATATTTTTGTCTGCTTCAAGAACTTTCACCATTTCAGTTATACCAACTTTCTTTGCTTTATGAAAATATTTTGGTTCAGCAAAGACTGCTATTCTATAACATTTACCATTGTTTGTATAAAGAACTATTCTGTCAATGAACTTGTATTGTTTGTGTGTGTAAACTTTGTTTTGCTTCAATTCGAAGAGATACTCGAATACGTCCATCTTTTTATTCTAAGTAAAATGTCATTTCCGAAAAATAGAAGCGTAAGTGTTTCAAAAGGTTTAATGGCGATGGCAGATGTGAAGTTAAATTCACCAACTCAAACAAACAGTCAAAGTGTTGTTGTCAATGTCAAAGAAAGAGATGTTGAAGTGGGGAAACCATACGAAGACGAAGATGGTATAACAATAGTTCCTGTAAAAGAACAACCAACATACCCTGAAGTTAGCAGAGACTTAAGTTCTGTTGCAGATATTCGAAATGACTACCAACAACTTAAAGACAAACTTAAAACTCAGGAGAAGATTTGTCAGGCTTTGGGTATAATGTTAAACTTGGTCGAACACAACCCTGTAAAAGTGAACTCATATGTCATTGCACCTAATGAAGTTTTGAAAGAACTATTGAAACTTTTGACAGAGGCAGACGATATAAACATCAAAGAAATAGAACCTGACATTGCTTGCTGTGGTGTTTCATATAATGTCATTGACAAGATATACGTTATGAAAGGAGGTGAAACCTTGAACTTAAAATATAGTTTCCCAGACGTCATAAAAATATTTGACGACCACAACATTTCATTAAAATTTACTTGCTAAGTAAAAATGGCAGAAGACATAGTGGTTTATACTATTACGACTAAAAACCCTGAGTCATATAATTCTATAACAACAAACTTACAAAGTCCTCAAGGACGATATTGTAAACTGACCTTAAACACGATGACGACTAAAGCCTGTTTTGCTCTTTTGACACCAGAAGACTTTGTTGTTGTGAATGGTAAAAAATACTTCTTTGAAGATACTTACTCAGATATACCACCAACAGGTTTTGTTGACTTATTTAATACTTTAAGGACGGATGTAACATGTGCTGCAACTAGAGCAGGTTTCATTATGTTTGGATGTCCGACTGAGTTTAGTATAAACGATATGAGCTATAATACAAAACTTATATCTGGTTTTTACTACCAACAGTTTCCTATAACAGGAAAAGGTGTCATACAAGGTTTGTCTATTCCATTGACATTAAGCACACCTATTTTATATATTGTTTCAAACTTAGGTTCAAAGTGCTATTCGAATGTCGACAGAAACTACTATGACCAAAAGATACTTATGCGTATAAACAACACTTTCTCTGCTGGTTTGCCTATTGTTCATTCGAATGCAGAATTTTCAACCTTAGTGAACTCAAACACTTTGGCAAGTATAACGTTGACATTAGTTGACGCAAACTTTGTTCCTGTAAAACTTTTATGTCCTATGTATTTGTCAATGACGGCAGAAAGTTTCGAATTGGAAGATGCAACTGGTGAAAGTATTGTACTACAAGAACAACTTCAACAACAAATGCAACAAATGGAACAAATGCAACAACAAAGTCAAGAATAAAAAATAGCTCAAGAATAAAAAAAATATATTTTTTTATTTTATTTGAAATGTACGCTGAGTTTGTTGGAGAAGACCGTTGGGAAACTTGTTTGTTAGATGAGAAATATGAAATTCACTGTTGTGAGTCATTTGAAGTCAGAAACAAAAAGACAAAAAGAGTTTTAAGCGAATGGGAGCAAAATAACGGATATGCTAGGATGAAGATGAGTGGAAAAAACTATTTTAAACATATTGTCATTGCAACTCATTTTATACCGAATCCTAACAATTTACCTTTTGTAGACCATATAAACCATATAAGAAATGACAATAGACTTGAAAACTTGCGTTGGGTTACTCGTTCTGAAAACAATAAGAACAAAGGCAAATTTGGAGATATAGTATTCGAATTTGTCGACGAACTAGAAGATGAAGCAATTGAAATTACAGACTATGGTAAGCATACGTTTGAGTTTTACTACTATAGCGAAGAACAAGACTCTTTCTACTTTTATACCGGCGTAAACTATAGAAAATTACAAGTATATTTTACTAAGGAAGGCTATGCTTATGTAAACGCTAGAGATACAGATGGAAAACGCGTTCAAATACGTCTTAACAAATTCAAGAAGCTATATGGCATACCATTTTAAAACGTTTTTTATAAAAAAATATTTTTTTTATCCGATAGAAAAGATGACGAAATATATTTCAGTAAACAAGTACATGACAGAAGTCAAAGATAAGTTAGACCCATTCGCTTATTTGAATGTTTACTTCTACCATTTTGAAAAGTCTACATTTGACAAAGTTTGGAACATCGAACCCGTTAAGTTTGCTGTTGTTAGAAAAAGTGGTGCAACTTTTGAAGACTTATACATTGACGGTATGTTGACAGTCAAAGAAAATTTTGACAGAAGGTTCTCAAACCTTAAAGAAGGCAAAGCATACAAACTTGTTATACCTTATGAACCAAAGAAAGCAGACGACTATGAATATTATGAGTCTAAGATAGTTGAAGTTCAAGGTAAATTGGGTAAAAAGATTTTAGAGTCTAAGCCAGTGTTTGCTCCTAAAGAGGAAGAGAACATTGACATTGACCCAGAAATGTTCTAAAAATAAAATTTTATTTTTACATGTCAAATTTCTTTTTCTCTGGCTCTGGCTCTGGCTCTTTCTTCTCTTCTTCTACTTTCTTTTCTTTCTTCTCTCTCTTCTTCTTCTTTTCTGGTGGAGTTATGTCAAACTTCTCAGAACCATATTTTTGTAAAAGGTCTTTGTCCTTTAATAGCTCTTCTATTCTGTTTTCTATTTCATCTTCAAGAACAGCGCATGTGTCTTCTTTGCATTCTAAGAACTTTTGTTGGACTTCATCTCTCCAAGAGGCGTCATCTCTGTCAACAAGTCTGTCATTGACAAACTTAAAGACTTCTCTGCCTAATGTTTTATGGTTCTTGTCATATTCCCAGAAACAGAACTTTAGAACAAATTCCCCTTTCTTGTTTACACTATGTAAGATTTTATGGTCTACAGATGTTTTGCTGTCGAAAAGTTTGTCTCGAATATAGATAGCGAAATCGCTAGACATTTTCTAAAAGATAAAATTTTTAATTTTTCTAAAAATATGTTAGAAAAAAAGTTTGCTGACATTGACAAAAAATTTGAGAATGTTTTAAATAAGAACAAGAGAAAGTTAGAAAATGCTCAGATAAAACCTATACATGACAAGTTCCTATTTGCTCAGAATGGTATAACAGGTCTAATCGCACCACCTGGGTCGGGTAAGACTTTCACTTATCTTAAAATGGCTGCACAACAACAAGAACTAGATGAGAAGAACCCATTCTATGAGTTAGTAGTCATTTGTAGTACTTCTGGTCAATTCGATCAAACCGTAAATTCGTTCAAAGATATTATAAAAAAGTCTAAGTTAGTATGTATAAAAGACTCTGAGTTGTTGGATTGGATAAAGAAGTACCAAAGAAGAGTTTTGAAGTACAATGCTATAAATGAGTATGTCAATTCTAAGTTTAAAGACCCAAATGAGGAAATGCAGAGAATATTAGAGAAGAAACACTTCAGAAACAAACAGAAAGAGATAGAATACATTTCGAAGAAATTGCAATCTTACGATTGGAAGACTTACCCTCACAGATGTCTTCTTATCTTAGATGATTTCGCCTCTCATCCTTTGTTAAAGAATAGAGAACAAGACATGTGTCGAATTCTTAAGAAGCTCAGACACTTTAACATTTCAGTTGTCATTTGTGTACAGACAGCAAAGAGTTTAAGTAAAGATGTAAAGAGAATACTGACTGACATTGTACTTTTCCCCGGATTGTCCGAAGACGATTTCATGGAACTTATGAAAGAGTCCATGGCAGGTAAGTTTGACAGACATGAACTATGGGAGAAGTACAAAGTCATACAAGACCCTCATACTTCTTTCAGAATTCACATCTACGCGAACAAAGTTCAAATTGTAAAAAGTCAAGCTTGAAAAATGTAAGTGTTTAGTCTTAGTAAGTCTGTTGTGGTGCTGGGGCTGTCGGTTCTTCTGGCTTTGGAATGGACTCGGTTGGTGGTACGTGGGACATTCGTTTGTGTCCTGTCGGAAGGAAGGACTCGGAATGTCGGAAGGAAGGACTCGGAATGTCGGAAGGAAGGACTCGGAATGTCGGAAGGAAAAACTCGGAATGTCGGAAGGAAAAACTTTTTCTGTCGGAAGGAAAAACTTTTTCTGAAGTTCGACCAAAAAGTTCTCAATTTTCGAAAATTTGAATGGTTTACGGACGAACAACAGGAAATTTTTTTCCAGTTGTCAGGAAAATTTTTTCCAGTTGTCGGGAAATTTTTTTCTTGTTGGAAGGAAGGACTCGGAATGTTGGAAGGAAGGACTTGGAATGTCGGATGGAAGGACTTGGAATGTCGGATGGAAGAACTTGGAATGTCGGAAGGAAGGACTCGGAATGCCAGAAGGATTTGACGAGGCAATTTACTTTATAGAGCTACCTGAGCCATCTTTGGTGTCAAGCGTAAAAAATAAATGGTTCATCTACCCTACTTGTTTGAAGTTGTCAAAATACTCTGTTATTTTTTCCTTTAACAATGGCAAATCTTCTTTGAAGGTAAGAATTGTACAACCTTTCATATCATAGTGTGTTTGAGGTAACGTATCTTGAACTATTTGTTTCACATCTTCATTTGGGGTCATTGAAATCGGTAAGTTTTCGCGATAGAACCAATTTCTGTCAGATTTGTAAATCTTAGCAAGGTCGTAAAAGCTTTTGTTGTTTCTTCTGACTAAATGCAACATAACCATATCTTTATCTTCTTCATTTTCCATCTCTTCAGTATAAATCATATACTTATAGTTCTTTTCCTTTCCTTTTGGTACCGAACGTGGTATTCTTTTCTGTATGTTTTTGTCTTTTGCTTCAATGACTTCATCTTTTGCTTGAAGTTTCTTTTCCATCTCTTCACGTTCTTGTCTATGAATTTCATCTAACATCATGAAAATATAACAAGCATAGCGAGGTGACGCCCACATTGCAACAGCATTTACAAGAAGTCTATGTACATACCAACCTCTCAAACCAGGAGCCAAATTCTTGCGATTTTCGTACGGAATCTCTACCCTCGGTTTTCCGAGGGTAGCAAACATATGAGGAAATTCTTCTAAAAGTTCTTTTGTCTGTTGGTTTTCAAACCAATGGTATGCTTGCTTTGTAGAACGAAGAGCATTCAAAATACTTTGCATTTGGTACATGTCATCTTTGACCGAACGAATGAGACGTAACTGTTTGTTATACTGTATGTACTCGTATTCTTCATCTATGGCTTCATGAACGATAGCAGTTGTTGTGTTCTCTGTTGTTGACATATCTGTCTTTATATTCCGGATAAAAAAATAAAAAAAAATAAAATTAGCGTTATTTTCTATCTTGTATAAAAGACCAAAAATAAACGCTTTACATGTATTTTTCAGCAACTTCGTCAAATAATTTTATAGCTTTGTCGATCTCATCTACTTCAAACGTTTCTTTACCTTTCGTGGGAGCACCATACATTTTCTCAAACTTTTCAAGCAGTTCTGTTTCTGCAGCTCTCATATCGTTAACAAACACAACCTTAACTCTATTGACTGTAGAGTCATATCTTTTAGTTATATTAAATGTTCTTCCTATCTTATATCTCTTTGTATTGAAGTCCTTCGGTTTCTGAACGATGTAAAGTAAGCCTTCACTGCAACGTTCCGTATCGAATGAACCATATGTTATGAAATTATATCCAACAACTGGGTCTAACCAGAACAAAACTACTGGTATAAGACTTTTGTCTATAAGATATGCTGTAGTTCCATGAAATCTTACCGATATCATAAGCTCAGGATTTCTTGTCAAAATTTTCTGAGTTGAAGCAATTTTAACCCAGTCGTTTGTTTTCTTTCCAGATGGAGATATAATGTCTGACAAAGAATATTTGTTGTATTTCTTTGAGTATCTTACGTTTAAATCACCAATTCTAACCATTTTGGTGTCATTGTCTATCTTTCTAACTGTTTCAAACTCAGTGTTTGACATTTCCTGTTCTTACATACAAAATAAAAAAAAATATTTTAAAAAAACTAGCTTTTATTTTCTATCTTAAGGAAATTCATGAAATTTGGTCATTTTTTTCAGCAAAAATATATTTTAGGGTAGATGGTTAGATCTAACCTGTTTTCTAACCTCTTTTCTACCCTCTTGAATTTTGTATAAAAGATATGATTTCATAGAGTTTTTTTACGAAGTGCAAAAGTTCTCTTCGTCAAAAAAATACAGTTATATAATGAAATTTGGTCATTTTTCAATAAAAATATATTTTAGGGTAGAAGGTTAGATCTAACCTGTCTTCTACCCTCTTTTCTACCCCAGTTATTTTATAAGCGTTTTACATGGTAAACATTGTGAATTCGTGAGACTCTAAACAGTTTCGTAGCTTCGATTTCTTCACGAAGGATATCGAATGTTTTAACAATGCCGAAAGTTTCTTTATATTTCTTCTTGACGTCAGATAGAAGGAAATCGTCAGCTGTTGGATAGTTTTTGTTTAGAAATGTCAACATGTCCATTTTATCTTCTGCTGGTTTCTCTGCCTCCCTCTTTAAGTCAGCATAGTCGTTTCGCATACGTTCTATCTCTTTGACGGAGTAGTTATATTTCCTAATTGCTGCCTTACATTTAGAACATTGCGGGTTCATTTTTGCGTTATATTCTGAAACCTTACCTGCTAGTATGACTAAGGCGTCAATTGCTCTCTTTAACTCAAAAGTTGCGGGTTTTATCTGTTCATTCCATATCTTACCTCTTCTATCTTTATCTCTTATCTGCCATACACATTCAGCAACTAACGAAACAAAGTTGTCGTAGGTCTTAAACTCCCCAGATTTGTATATGTCAGAGATGTTCTTATATACCATATCGCAATCTTTGTCCATGACTTTATGGTTGCAATGAAATCCAAGAAACTCATAGTTAACCTTTCGTATGAACTTCTTTATTTCAACTGAGTCGGTTGGTTTCACTTCTATTTCATCGAATTCTGGAATAGTGAGCTTTTGTTGTTGTATTTCAGGAAGTTTAGGTAAATGGTCGATGAGGTCCTGCATGTCATAAAGATACTGTTCATTTGTTTCATCTTTCGCACAACAGTCCAAAGTACTTGTTAAAAGTTCTTGCTTTATCTTCTGGATTTTTGTTTCGAAAGTATATGAAGAAGGAATGAAGCTTTTCATCTCTACTAACATTGAAGTTGGGTTCATGACTAACGAGTTTGGTGCTGTTGTTGCTAACATGTTCTTACAATAAAAATAAAAAAATATTTTTTTAAAAAAACCAACTTTATTTCTATCTTAAGGAAATTCATGAGGTTAGAAAACATTTACGATGAAATTCATGACAAAACATTTACGATGAAATTCATGACAAAACATTTACGATGAAATCATGAAAATTCAAGAGGGTAGAAAAGAGGGTAGAAGACAGGTTAGATCTAACCTTCTACCCTAAATTATATTTTTGTCGAAAAAAATGGTTCATTTACTCACAATATTTTTGTACAAAACGACCCCAAACTTTTAACCTCTCTTCTGCAGCTTCAAATGCTATCTTAGCGAGTTCATATTCTCTAAATTCTCTCTTTAAATCTTCTTGTTCCCATTGGTCTAGTTCGTATGGAGAATCTCTATAACCAGAACATATCTCACGTTCATGTTCTATTTGTTTTTCATGCATTTTTCTAACTTCTTCTTCAAACAAAGGTTTTGCATTCTCTACTGTATCTTCAAGTTCTTCTTCATCTAACTTCTCATGAACTTTCTTGTCTATGGAGTCCAGAATTTTTCCAACTGCTATACAATATTTTGGAGAAGCCCACATTGCAATATAGTTTACGAGTCTTGGGTCTACATACATTCCTCTAACCTGTTTGATTTCATCCGGAATTCCTGCATTAACATTGTATAAAAAGCAACCCGCGGAATTCCGCGGGGTGGTATATTCTTCACAAAATGCCTTAAAATACTCTTCCCAGGACTTATTTTCCAACAACCTTCTAAAGTCTTTCCTAAACTGCTGACACATCTTTGTTGCATTTATATAACCATCCTTGTCTCTACGTAAGACTTCAATACCGTTGTAAGTGCCTTTTGTGAATGTTTCGCCATTAGATTTGTTCGTGAACGTTTTTGCTTCGACTGACATTTCTGTTCTTACAATAAAAATAAAAAAATATTTTTTGGTGGGACGTCGGACATTCGTTTGTGGCTTAACCGTCGGACCACAACGATAAAAATCTCAACAAAACATATACGATGAAGTCTCAACAAACATTGACGATGAAGTTTGACAAAACATTTACGATGAAATCTATTTCCTGTGTTGTTGTCAAAATGTCATGTTGTCACCATTTTCAAAAAGATGTTAGTTGACCGAGTGACCTGGTGACACCTAAAATATATTTTTTTCTGTCTTAAGGAAATTCATGAAAATTTACCTGTTGAATTTTGTATAAAAAGCAACCCGCTGTTTTCCGCGGGTTGGTATATTCTTCACAAAATGCTTGTTTTGAGGTCGAGCCACTTTTGGCTCCACCGTATTTTTTCAACCAAAATATATTTTTCAATACTTTTTCAGCACTTCTCCGTAGTTATATATGAAAGACAATTCGAGATAAAAGTCGTAGTACAATGGAACAATATGCTGCACACCGTTTGTTGTGAACCAGACTTGAAAGTCAGAGAAACTGTTACTAGGTGGTTCGTAGAATTTAGAAGCAAAGTCATAAAAGTCCTTACCAATACAAAGAAAACTATTGTTGCTTGAACTGAAACTTGCATGACACATGACATTTTGAGGGTCAAACACGTTTCTATAAACTGTCAAATCTGTTGGTGGGCGTATAAACCAGAACGGACCGTCAGGTGGTAATGGTTCGTTCTGGTTTAGTAACCGAAGAAATTGTGCCCAAGAACGTTTGTCTACTTGCCAAAATAAAAACTGTGTATCTCTTGGAGGGTTATTTTCAATCCTTTTGAAATGAAACTGTGGAGTTCATCTTGTCATATTCTAGTTTCAGATAGTATGTTCCATTTAGTAAAGAATCGTATTTTTCTTGAAATTCCCAGTAGTATTTGTTTATTTGAGTTTGAAAGTCATTTAGAGTTTTTTCAAGATTTTCGTCTGAACGAACTGTAAAGATTCTCATTTCATCAAATTTGTAGTAGACCATCAGACCTCTATACTGACCATGAAAATATACCGCAAACATAAACGCGTTAGTTCTTTTTGAAAACAAAACTCTTCTAAATCCTATTGCCTTTGCATCTGAAGGACTTTGAAGCCAACGAATTGGAAAGTCAAAGCGGTAGGAGCCGGATGAAATTTCTTCATCTGATATAGTCCTACCAGCGTTTGTAAAGATATAGTCTAACGGTTTTGTATCTGCTACTTTTGTTCTTTGTTTTTCAACCTGAAACATTTAATATATGTAAAAATATACTGTTTTAAAAAAAATGTTTTAAAAAAGTATGCCATTTCATATTTCTCATCTAACAAACAAGTTGTCTGACTGCTTGAGGGTTAGGTTGGTACCATTCGAACTTGACACTTGCAATTCCTTCAATTGCATTCAAAATGTCTGAGTCGGAGTCAAACATTTGTTCTCTCTTTGTAGTCTTGAAAGCGTCAAGAAGTTGTGCGGCTGTTGTGACATTGCCATGCGCATAGTAAATGTGACCGTCCAAATCTGTTACGGTTAGTCTGAGATTGTATCCTTTCTTATTTCCGTCTTGTATGGCAGCAAGTACTCCCATGAAGCCTTCTTTGTTCTTTCCTTCGTCAAAGTTTACTGTAAAGGTTCGACCAGATGTAATTTGACTTCTAACTTCACGATACTTCTCATATGCATATCTTGTTCTTTCCATGGGAGCATGACCATCCTCTGCACTACCTTTTTTCCTTCTCAAAGGAT